CCACTCCTCGGAAGGAAGATGGGGCAATCTACTTCCATAGTGATACTGCCTCAGAAACCCAAGGAGGGGTCGCTATGAGTTGGGTCCGACTCGACGGCACGTAACAACAACTGTGACTGGACATGACCTGTAAACTGAGTTGTAAATATTGGCAGATTGCTTTGATAAAGTATTACTTTATAAGGCAACACTCAGCAATAACCTTACCTGTAACTCTTTCTCCTCCTGCCTCAGCATATTTCTAAGGATCTGAGTAGCATGTTTTTGAACTTCAGGATCCTAGGGAAGGAAAATATGACAGCAGTGAGCATTGGGGGGACCAACTCAATAGCTTAAGTCTCTTCTACTTGCTAATTCCTGGGCCAGGAAAGCCCTGAGTGTAAAGGCTGGGTGATAAGCATGCTTTACATACATGCAGTGCCTCACTGGAACTGAGCAGATAAAAAAAAATCTTATTTTTATTTTACTCTTGAAGTTCCTAGAATCATTGGCTACAATCACCTTTGCTATCAGATTGCTTTCCAACCTCTATCTCCCAATACTTGCTGGCTCACTCTCCTTTCCAACTGGAAAATCCTATTCCCAATCTGTATCTTGTTCTCTTTTAACTCCTTACACAGGCTTTTCTTCATCCTAGGGGTCTCTCCCTACTCCTTTTTGTCCTTTTCTGACTCTCTGCTTCTACCTAACCAGGTCCATGTATCTTTTCTCCAAGCAGTGGTTCTTTTCCCCACCAGGAAATCTTTTTCCTATTTCTTGACTCTGTCCCACACCCTGCTAACAGTGACTGGCAACAGTCTTTAACAGATGCTCTCTGTCCATGCCCTCTCTGTTCTGTGAAGAGGGGTACTCTCAAAGGGCCTCCTTATTGTCTTTCACATACTGAAGAAACACACTACATGTTGCTATCTTTTAAAACTGAAAATGCCTTTATACAGAGGGAGGACACTAAGGGATGGAACAATCCCTTCAATGTAATTCTTATTTTTTGTTCAACTTTTTGATAGTCTTTCATATATCTTTTTGGCTTCTCTCTGCTTACCAAAATCTCTTTCAATCTAAGGTGCTTTCCTCTCCAATGGAGAGCTCTTTAAAACAAAGACAGAGTGCGAAGAGGGCAGGAGGGCCATTACCTGCAGAGGTTTGGGTCTTGTGATGCGCTGTGGAGGTGGCAGAGGTGGAGGAGGTGGTGGTGGTGGGATCACAGGGGTGACTCGGGGAGCTCCTGCTGGGGCTGGGTCCTGCTGGAGTCCAGAGACACCGACAGACGAGGGTGAAGAGCCCAGGAGAGTCAGTGCAACATAGGCACCAGCTGGAGGAAAACAAATAAACAGAGCTTGCTTAAGTTGCCTTGTTCTAGAGAGCAGACATTCACATCACAAAGAATGGGCTACTTTGCCCCTCTCCTTTATTGTCTAACTCTTTTCCCCCTACCCTGCATCTACTCAAGTACTGCTTCCTTCCCTTTCTTCATGCAGAAACCTCATCCATAAATATTTGGGAACACTCCTCACAGGCTAACTTGTTTCTTCTTTTATCTCATTAAATGAGTTAGTCCATGTAAAGCCCCTCGCACACTGCCTGCCTAGCACACAGCACTCAAATTCTAGCCCTTCACCAATCTATCACATCCTTTAATTCTTTCCTCAATGTTTGTTGCTTCTACTTGACTACCTGCATAGACTCAATTGTTGGGCCTTTCAGCCTTGCAAACAAGTAACAGTTTTTCTTTTTCCCAAAATAAGAAAAAAGTGGGTAAGAATGTCTAAATGCAAGAAGGAAGTAAACTGAATTTGCATGAGACCTAGTCTTGGTAGGATATGGTCTAAAAAGCAGTGGTAAAGATGGTTGTAGGTAAAAGTAAAGGCATCAGCGAGTGAAACTAAATGTACACATAATGTTGAATGTAAAACAAACTCTAAAAAAAAAAAAAAAAAAGAGATTTATAGTGTCTTCACTTGAAACAATAATAAGAAATTGTTGCAGCCTAAGTGGATTGCTCCATGTCAAGATTAAAGATAGGACTTTAATGCTTCACACAGCTACAAAGGAAGCTTCTTGGTCCATAGGCTTCCTCTTTCCTCCCTCCCTTCCCCTCAGCCCATCTTCTCTGACTTTCTTTAGTTGTCTTCAACTCACATTTGATAAGCTTCACCACCTCCAGGTGTGAGCTATTGGTCACCATGGTGCCATTCACCTGTTAGGGGGACAAAGAACATTGAGCAGTCATGGTAGAACCTAGGGGGTCATTCTATAAGTTCAAAACTGGTTTCATATTCAGGAAGTCATTCTCCAATGTTTTTTAGCTGCTTCTAGTTACTCTGGATTTGTTCCTGTTCACATCTAAGATGTGTGTCTTCCTACCTAGGCTATAAGTTCCCAGGGAGTAAAAACTGTGTTTTCATTTGTTAATTCATTCACCTGCTTATTTCTTTTTGGTATATACTTTTCAACCAATAGTCTCATATACATGTGTATGCTAGTTAGGGTATTCTGTTTCCTCCTCACTAGAGGACTAAGAAGTCTCCTCATCTAGGATTTCCCTAACACTTCTAGTACTGTAGAAGAAAGTACTAAACAAGCAGGGCAAATTACAGTATTTTAGAACTAGCAAGAACAGGTCAGCACTGTATGGAGAACAGAATATCAACCTGAGAATCTAAAGACTTTATTAGTCATAGCCCCTTCCGCTTAATCTTAGTTTTGTTGTTTGTGAAATGGGGATGATAAAACCTGTTCTAAGAAGCTTGGTTACTTTAGAATTAAGAAGAGCCTAGAATATGGAACCTTAATCACTACTTTCTCCCATACTATACTTTAAACTCACCCTCATGGTGTTGTTGTTGTTGTTATGTGCCGTCTAGTCAAACCTGACTCATAGCGACCCCTCCTTGGGTTTCCGAAGCAGTATCACTACAGAAGTAGGATTGTCCAACCTTCCTTCCGAGGAGTCGCTGGTGGGTTTAAACTGCCAGCCGTCTGGTTAGCAGGCAAGTGTCTTAGCTACTATGCTACCAGAACTCCCCCCACTCATGGTACCACCCCCTAACTCAGTGGCTAACTGGTAGCTAAAATTGTGGGATGGGCCAAGACCAGACATGACCCTGCATGCCCTGCCTCCTTGATCAGGGATGGGAAGTGGGGACAGGGGATTCACTCACTTTGATGATCCGGTCGCCCTCTTTCACACCGGCTTTCATGGCTGCACCTCCTGTAAGGAGAAGGCCTGGTCAGTAGAGCCCAATAACCTCTCCCAGAGGTCAGTGAATCTACCCACAGTCCCTGTCAAGAGACCTCTCCTCCAATATTTCCTCTCACTTGTCTGTGTTAGATTAAACCCACTGCCCTCAAGTCAATTCCAACTCATAGTGACCCTATAGGAGAAAGAATTGCCCCATAAGCTTTCCAAGGCTTCATAGAAGGAAAAGTCACATCTTTCTCTCATTCAGTTAGCAGCTGAGTACTTAACCACTGCACCACCAGGGATTCTTTTCTTAGGTTAAAAACTCACTGCCACAGAATTGATTGCAACTCACAGTGACCCTATAGGACAGAACAGAACTGCCTCAGAGGGTTTCCAAGGCTCCAAGTATTTACAGAAGCAGACTACCTCATCTTTCTCCTGTGGAGTGGCTGGTGGGTTTAAACCATAGACCTTTTGGTTAGCACCCTGATGGTTTAACCATAGCACCACCAGAGCTCCTTGTGTTAGGTTAGGTGCCCCAAATATTGGGTGTACATTCTATTCTGGTCCAATAACACAACTGCTTTTCAGTTATGGTGGACTATATAAGGTCATATTTTTTGCTTTTTCCTCTACCTGGCTCAGATGCCAACCTTCCTATAACCTGGCCAAGACGGGAGACAGGCAGGCTAGGCTCCAAGAATATGTGTATATATGCACATGCTCAATTAAAATGTGTCTGAGTATGTTCCAAGGTCAGATTAGTTTTTATTATTATCTAGTGGAAAGAATGGAAGAGTACTTGCAAGCAGCTTGAAACTCTTATATTGTCATCTAGAAACCACATGTGAACATTATATAAACCAGCCAACTTCTTAAAAGGCAAGCATTCCAAATGTCAGGTCACAAACTGGTTTCTGGTCTATTTCTAAGTTCAATTTTATTTTGCATTTTAATTCACATTTAATTCCAAAACTACACAGAATTATTTATTTTCCTTTAATTTTTATTGTGATTTGGGTCAAAGTTTACAAAGCAAACTCATTTTCCATACAGAAGTTCACGTACACTTTGTGTCATGACATTGACTGCAATTTCCCACAATGCAACAGCTTTCCTCTCACTTCCTCCAGATAGCCACTTCTTCCCTGTGTCCTTGCCTCCCATGTACTCCTGCCCCCCAAGCTGTCTCTCTGTGTATACCCAGCCATTCTATCCTCCCATGATTGATCTCTCCAAGGAGTGTATCTACCTAATGTAAAATTTCAGCTCATATGCCTGGTCTTTTGTTTGTCTGGAAGCTACAGGAATGGGTTCAATTCCAGACTTGAAGGACAGCTAGGGCCAGTCTCAGGGGTTACACCAGGCTCTATCAGAGCAGCAAACCTGGTCCTTTTTTTTAAATGATTTTGAGTTTTGTTCCACATTGTTCTCCCACTCTCTCCAGGATCTCCTACACAGATCCCGCTCCAAGTGGTTGACAGTGGTAGCCAGGCACCATCTAGTTCTGGTCTCACAGTCATACAGGCTGAGGATCACATGGTGTACCAGTCCCTTGACAAACTGTAAAACTACATAGAATTATTGTTAATTTAAAATTCATTTGTCAAATCATAAAAAAGACCAGGTTTACTGGTCTGATAGAGATTGGTGAAACCCTCACGACTATGGCTCCTAGTCACCCTTTGGGCCTGAAACTGAATTCACTCTTGTGGCTTCTAGCCAACAGACAGGCATATAAGATGAACATTTACACCATGTAGATATACTCTTCAGAATGATTAACCCTGGGAGACTGGAAGTGCAGTATCTGCACAGGGAGATGGCTCAATAGGCAGGAATGTACAGGAAAGAAGGACAAAGGGAAAAGGTAGCCACTGGGAGGAAGTTGGAAGAGAGCTGTTATATTATGAGGATTGCCATCAATGTCATGAAACAAAATGCATATAAATTGTTGAATGGAAGATGTAACTTTCACCCAAATCACAGTGAAAAAAAAAATTGTCCAAAAAAGAAAAAACTCACGTTACTTCTTACAAAATCAAAGTTACATAGTACTCACCACTTGTCTAATGGGAATAAGTATAAAAACAGTCCATGCAGATTGCTACAAATGAAATTTTGAAGAAACTTTATACCATAACATTTAACATGTAGATCTAACATTTTTTAAAAATTAATTCCCTGAAGATGGAGGAATAGGCAGACAAGCGAAACAGACCCTCTTCAACCAAGAAAAGAAAAACCAATTGACAGAGATGTAGAAGATAATCCTGGAGCCCTGAGCTTTGAAAGGAACTATATAAAAGTGGATTAGGCACCAACTAGTGGAAAAACCTGAATGAAACAGTGAGCACAGAGATGGTCGGAGCTGCAGACTGTCAGCTGCCCTGACAGGACTAACAGCCTGAATATTTCCAAGAGGTGTTGGGACCTAAGAATTGACATAAAGATCAGCCCTGGTCACCAAGGGCTGCAGGGATGACTGGATTGGTGGTCTATCACCAGGAAGGGTAACAGCAAGGAGGGAGACAACCTGAGCTGTTGACTTTCTGCTGTCTGGAGGGTGCAGCCCTTTTGAGTGTTTACACGCAGCAGCCATTTTGGATATTTAAAGTGACTGAGGGCGCAGCCATATTGGGTATTTAAACTGACGGAGGGCACAGCCATTTTGAATGTTTACAAGTGGTGGCCATTTTGGATTTTAAAGTGACAGCATTCTCATTCGGATTCCAGGGATCTAAGAATAGGCTCTGTTTGCCAAGGTCGGCGGGACATATGAGAGACTGACAACAGGAAAGGAGACAGGTGGTGAGTGTATAAGTGCTGTCAACTAGTGAACAGAGGAGCACAGCACAGTAGCCTGCTTGCATAGATAACATACAGAAAAAACAAAGAAAATGAAAATTATGGTCAAGTCACTCCAACATACAATCACCAATTAAATATAAACACAAAAACGTCACAATGCCTCAGAGACTACAGAGCATCACAGTCCACACAAAGAAGCAAGATAAAGCAGGAGAAACAAGGGACCAGAATACATACCCAAAACACATCCCTGAGGAAGATGCAGCATTGGAACTCCCTGATAAGGAATTCAAAAGAATTATATTTAAGTATCTTCAACGAACTGAGAGACAGATCAAGGAAAACACAGAGAAAACCCTAGAACAATTTCAAAAGACAATACAAGAACAAAATGACAAAATAAATGAAAAATTAGAAATGATATAAAATCTACACGTAGAAATCCAAAAGATTAATACTAAATTTCCAGAAATAGATAAGACATCGAATGGGCAAAGGAGCAGAACTGAATCAATGGAAGACAGAATTGGTGACACTGAGGGCAAATACCTGAACACTTCTTTGGAAAGGGATCAATCAGAAAAAAGGTCAAGACAAAATGAAGAAAGCCTAAGGTTCATGTGTGATACCATCAAATGGAATAACCTACGTGTAACTGGAATTCCAGAACAAGAGACAAAATCACAGAGAAAACAGTCAACGATTTGTTGGAAGAGAATTTTCCTGGTATGATGAAAGATGAGAATATATCCATTCAGGAAGTCCAATGTACCCCAAACAGGATAGACCCCAAAAGAAAATCACCAGGACATATCATCATCGAACTCACCAAAACCAAAGACAAAGAAAGAATCCTGAAAGCAGCACGGGAAAAATGAAAAGTTACCTACAAGGGGCAACTAATAAGACTAAGCTCGGATTTCTTGGCACAAACCATGCAGGCGAGAAGACAGTGGGATGGTATATATATATAAAACACTAAGAGAGAAAAATTTCCAACCAAGAATTACGTACCCAGCAAAACTGTCCCTCAAATATGATGGTGAAATTGGGACATTTCCAGATAAGCAGAAATTAAGGGAATTTGTTAAAACCAGACCAACCTTATAAGAGATGCTAAAGGGAGCCCTTTGAACAGAGAAGCAACAACAGCAAACAACAACTGAAACCAACCCAGCTATAGAAGTATCCAAAGTTAAGTAAGCCTACAAGACTGTAAACAGGGAACCACAGACATCAATTGACAAATGAGGACAACTACAAACCAAAAAGAGGGAAAAAAAAACTGTCATCACAAAACTTCTAGATGGTAGGGAAGTCAAGACAACTATAACATAGAATGGACTGTTCTTAACTTGGGAAGAAAACTATAAATCACAGGGTAACCTCAAAAAAAAAAAAAAAAAAAAAAAGATAAACCTTCACACCAAAATAAAAAAAGAGGACCAGCACAAATATCTAGCAAATACTAAAACAACAGGAATGAAGGAAGTGATAACATGATTCATAGACAAAACGAGCTCAGCATAGAAAATTATATGGAACAAAGAAATCGACACCACGAAAAAGCACATAACAAAAATGATAGCAACAAATTCATATTTGCTGATAATTACATATCTGACAAGGTACTTATCTCTAAAATTTATAGAAAACTCCAACACGTCAAGAGCAAAGGGATTAACAATCCAATTGAAAAATGGGCACAAGACATGAATAGACACTTCACCAAGGAGGATATTCAGGTGGTTAGCTAATATGTGGCGTAGTGCCTAAGGCATTTGACTGCTATCCAGAAGGTTGGCAGTTCAAACCCACCAGCCACTCCTCGGAAGGAAGGTTGGGCAATCTACTTCCATAGTGATACTGCCTCGGAAACCCAAGGAGGGGTCGCTATGATTCGGGTCTGACTCGACAGCAAATAACAACAACAACAGCTAATATGTAAAGAGATGCTCACAATCCTTGGCCATGAGAGAGATGCAAACCAAAACTAACAATGAGATACCATCTCACTCCAGCACTGATGGCAAGGTTCAACAAGACAGAAAATAACAACTACTGGCGGGGATGTGGAGAGACTGGGACACTCAGACACTGCTGCTGGGACTATGAAGGGATACAAACACTGTGGAAAGCAATATGGCGATTCCTTAGAAAGCTGGAATTGGAGATACCATTTGACCCAGCAATCCCATTACTAGGTATATATCCTA